CCCCACCCCACATCCTTCAGTCACAAATATCTCGACTTCTATTCACAATTGATGGCCGTTCTTATTTTTTCAATCAAAATCAAGATACATGAATAAATTTAAAGAAAATACATGTACCATGGTCACGCTCATAGATAAATTATGCCTAAGTCATTTTAGTCATTTTGAGAAAATGAGAACAAAAGACTGTTTCTTTTGAGCAATTGTCTATATGTGAGGCAGCATGGTGGAATCAGGCTCTCGTCAATTTTTGGGCATGTAGAGTTTTGGGTTTCATCTTAAAGCTTGTTCACTTGTCTTTATTTAAAATGAAAAATATATCCATTTATCTTGAATACGAGTCGAGATATTTACGAAAGAAGGAGGTGGGGGTCATTTGTTTTCAGAAGTAAAATTAGTGAGAAAATGGGCGCCAAAGATTAGTTATTTCCTTAGCTTAAGAGTCCGTGGTAACTGAAAATGTACATCTTTTGTGCTCTTAATCAACGCTTTTCAGAAAAATCCCCACTGAAATGAGTGTTTTAATTGGCATGAAAGGCGTTGAGCCAAAAAACCCCAAAAATTTGATAAAAATTCACAAACCAGTGGAAAAATGCAAGTTTCTATACTTTGATTATTTTGACGAGAGCCTGATTCCACCACGCTGCCTCACATATGAAACACTTGAATTTTGGCACACTCAATTGAATTTTTATGGATTATTCTTTTGTCCAAGCGAACTATATTAACAAGCTGACTCTTCTCTTCATTTCAGAACCAAAAATTCCAAACCGGCCAAAAACTGACGTAGGCTACTATCTTATGAGCGTTACGATATCTTAAATTTCCATTCTTTTTCTAAATATTTTGAGTGTGTGGTTGACGGATGCTCTGGTGTTGTTTGCTCCTCTTTCTTATCAAACATCGATCGCCCTTATCCCTCCTCCTTTTTGCGTTTAGTTGCTCTCCTGTATGTAACATTCCTAATCTTCGTCACTTTTATGACCTTATTGTGTAGAAAATGCCGTAAAACTTACTAAAACTTATGTAACACTTTGGTGGGTTATACAAGCTCGATCGTAGCTTGAAATCTGTCTTCTTTTATATGCTGATAATGCAGACTTGGGCAGTTTATGAATTGTGCTACGACGCGGTGGAATCAGGCGCTCGTCAGTTTTTTTAGCATGTGGAGACATTGGTATTTTCTTTAAATTTGTTCCTGTATCTTGATTTTGATTTTTTTAAAATGGCCATCAATTGTGAATAGAAGTCGAGATATTTGTGACTGAAGGATGAGGAGAAGGGGAGAAGAGGGGGGAGAAGAGGGGGGAGAGGGGGGAGGGGTCAACTAATGGTGTCAGATTGGGGAAATGGTCGCCAAAGTTTGGTGACTTTCAAAGCTTGAGTTCCCCCCGGGGCAGAGCCACTGACTGTAGTGTCTTTAGGCCATTCCCAAAGGGGTGACATTTCTCGTTCAAGCACAGTAGAATTGTAATTAGGGCTGATTCATGTCACGCTCATAACTGTGCCTGATCTACAACAGGGAACTACTGCTTTTTCTTTCCTCATCCTTACTATGGTCATTATCCTCTACTTCTTTTGTATGTTTGTCACTCTCTTGAGACCTGCTATTTCCGGGGCCTGATAGTCGAAGCAGACCTTGTGCTGTTGAAGCTAGAGAGGTGAGCAGTCTAAGTCTGATTCCCTGTAAAGACTTTTCTGTTGACACCCACCCCTTGGCGCTCATACGACCTTATGCCGTTGCGAGCGCCGAAAAACCCTCTACTATAATAATTTTTAAAAAGCTTGAGTGTCATTGGAAACTGCATCGGCCGACCGTGTCGTCTGTCTTCGAGACCTTAGACAACAAGTCTGTGACTTAACAAAGTGCAACTTTAACCCTATCCGTACGCCGTGGGGTCATTTTGCACCCCCCCCCCCCGGGTTGTATTCTTCGCATTTTAGAATAATTCTAGTGCCAAGATCTCTTTGAAACTTTCAGCATTTCTCAGAAAATCATTTTGACAGACGTACGGATTCAAAGCGTACGGATTGGATTAACGAGTAAATTTCCACTTTGGAAAGTGGTGGCACGGCGTTCCCCACGTCGTGTGGATATATAATAAAACACGACGTACGGATGGGGTTAAGAAGTAGTTTAAGTTTAAGACAATTTTTTTGAATTTTTTTTCAATGGGGTATTCGAGCTTGTCTGGAAAGAAAAGATCAACACCAGGAACAACATATTATATTTGAAACAGCCACCATCTACCCTGACTTTGTTAAGTCATGTCAATTTGTTTCAATTGAACGTGCTCTTTAATGAATAAATAAATCTACATTGCGGTTGGTTTCTTTAATAAAAGCTGTAATGTTTTCCTCCATTTAAAAAAAAGAAGACAATTAAAGACCAGTTTCAAAGTGTCGTTAATACAATCTTAAAGCAAATAAATTCACGTTTAGTAGAACTAGAAATTTTCGCCAAATTGACTTGACTTTCATCGCGAGGTGTGGGAGGATAGATCTAGCCTACGTGACTGCGCGGAGCCTTCTTTGCTTTACAATGTCAGGGTATTCCTGCGCACTTCACACCAACTGTACCTAAATTTTGATATACGGTAATGCGATATTAACCCTGGTCCTGCCTGGGCCGGGTTTATGTCGCCCGATAAGCCTATTTCGGCACCTCGCCTTCGTTCCGATCATAATTAAACACCAGTTTCAAAGTGTCGTTGTAACAATCTTAAAGCAAATAAATTCACGTTTGGTAGAACTAGAAATTTCGCCAAATTGACTTGACTTTCATCACGAAGTAAGGGAGATAGCCTACGTGTATGCGCGAAGCCTCTTTTTCTTTACGATGTATGTGTATTCCTGCGCACTTCACACAACTCGAACGGACATAAACTGACCTAAATTTTGGTATAATACAATAATTATTAATTAACTAACCTTACAGTACCGTCGGAGACTTTAGTCGCCAGGTCGCAGTATGCACTCACTACCGCTGGCCACTTCAGCCGTTGACA